GTTTAACAGGCGACATATAAATGATGAAGTCTGGACCAGGTGAACCAGTGTCTCAAACATGCATCGATCCATGTCAGTGGATTTGGTTGAACCACCTTACAGATTAAGTCTAGCAGCAAAACGCCAACCATAATGACGCGTTTTGTTGGTATGGGGGGGGGGGGGGGGGGGGGGGGCATATCATACCAGCTAATTACCTATACATTAAAGGTACCCCAGTGCCATTCAGTTGCCTACAGCATCACATGCAAAAGAATACTCAGAGATAATTATAGATAAATGGCTTACAGGGTAACCCCCAGCTATCGTGCAAGTCGATGTTCTGTCTAATCCCCCAGTAGTACACGGAGTCAAGGCTGACAAAGGACATGTTCGTTATCCGATTTCTCCGAGAAGGTTTAATCACAAGTGCTACACGATATGGCGGCTGGTCAATGCTGACGCGAACTTCCATGCAGCTCGTTGGCTGATTGGATGGATAAACAGCATAACAGGTCGTGATTCCTCACCTTCACGAGAACGTTCCATACACGTGGCGCGTCATGCAGTTGAGATTCCCACACGTGGAAGATTCTTGAGAATTCCAAGAAGGCTGTATGACTTTCTGATGCAATGGAGATGCAGTGCAATGATGCAATGGAGTTGCGACTGAGGGGATCAAATTTTGAAAACAAATGAAGCGCTATGAGCCCATTGTGGAAAAGTCACTGTATACATAATTGACCAATAATTAGAGTGAGTGAGTAAGTTTGGTTTAACGCTGCTTTTAACAGTATTCCAGTTATATCGCGGCGTGTCAGCTTAATGTGGGAGGAAAGCCCGAAGTGATGCAGGTCTCAGACGTTTACCACTTCGGTGAAACCCACGAGAACGGGTATGGTGCTGACAAACCTAGAAACATAATCGGGGCGAACCGGGATTCGAACCCACAATCATAGGTTTCTGGCGTGCCCAAGGGACGCAACTCTGCACAACGAATCGCGTTGCCTTAGACGACTGGGCCACCCGTGCCCCCACCAATAATTAGAAACATGGAGTATAATTCAAAAGAACCAGTACGATGCTGTATTATTTTTCTGATTTACTCGACCCATTTTCTGATTAACTCTGTGCGGTCGGGTAGCCTAGTGGTTAAAGCGTTCTCTCGTCACGCCGAAGACCCGGGTTCGAATCCCGACATGGTACAATATGTGAAGCCTATTATCCGGTTTCCCCCGCCGTGATATTGCTAGAATATTGCTAAACGTGGCTTAAAACCATACTCACTCGCTTACTCATTGGTTTTAGAAGGCAAGCAAAGGTCGGTCTCATGACACCTCTTAAAATTATACGTTGCATAAAAATAAGCACAAGCATATGATATAATACAAAATCGTTATTTCCAATTTTGTGAAAGAAAGTTCTTGTTAAACTATTTAGCAACACGAGTTACTATAATATCATTCAACTGAGACTCGACGTCTTCTACTTTGCTTCAACTAAAGGGCTTGGCAGTTAAAACTTCTTCTCCTTCTTATCATTAACTTTGACGAAAAACGCGTGTCTCCAGTGGGATTCTAATTAACGTACCGAAGGCTAACCAATATAGTATCATGGCACTGCGACACAGGGGAATTCTTTGAACATTATCTAGATAACACTATATGTTATTCCACACACTGAAGCGTTTCAATAAAAAAAACTTTTCTTTTCTTTATAAGGACTATGTTTGCATGTAACAGACCGATCAAAATGGACATGATATATTAAAGTGATTGACCAATGTGCTCGACCTGGTCCTATATGAATTGTATACTCGCCCCTGGAACATGTATTTCATAACCGGGGTCGCCAAAGAGTCACGTGCGAACGGTGTGGGAAATACGTGAATTTAGTAGAGACGATTCAGATAGAGTTCTCAAACATTGTTCAATTACGATTTCGAAACAATAGTATTTCAATATATTTGTGGTGAGTTTCTCGGAATGTTGGCCATTGTTTGAGTAGGTTTGATCACGCTGACCCCTAACGTCTAATCGTTCAATGGTTGAAATCCTTCGCACCTTTTCTTAGTGCTAAGACTACCGTAAGCTAAAGTATGGGAGTTACGTTCATCTCAGCGCTAAGATCGCTTTGTGCAAGTGAGTCCAGGTTCTCGTTCATTAACCTATAACGTGAACGCTTACAGAAATGGATATTGAAGATTGGCCGGTATACCTAAATGATGTAAGGCTTTTAAATTAGCAATGTGAACACTATATTATGTCTTGTATTGACAAAGGTGTACATATATGACACTATATTCCCAAACAATATGTTCCACCATAATGTAGTATTGATGAAAAGATGCAGCGCCTGGGCTGAACCCATCTTGGGATTGATGGTGCTTGTTTTATACATCCCTTAATTTTCAACCGGCTTGGAATAAAGTACCGGGCAAAAGAAAGTATACACATAAATATTGGATGTAACCCCAAAATTGCAAACTTAATGAAGACGTTACAAGGCTGAAAACAGACGCCGAAACACTGCAAATGTAAGGTCCAAACCTCAACTAGGATACTTGTTACAAATACATCACCATCGAATAAAACCATTTCTTGTTTATTATACCTTTCGACACCATCAAACGTGGGTGTATACTTTGTTTTGCCAGGAAATCACAATAGACATTCGTGGAGTAAATTCACTGAGGCAAAGTATTTAAACTGAGGACATACCTTTGTATTTGACGCCGTTTTACTTTTTATTTGCACGTTAGAATATATAAATATGTTGGGTTTTTTATTTGTTTATACGAGAGACGTTATTTTCCTGTGTAACAAGAATAATCAAGCGAGGTATTGGCACGTTTCCATTGTTACAATTGGACTCAAACATAAATAGACCCGTGAAGATTCGGGGTAGAATAGGTCTTCAGCAACCCATGCTTGCCGTAAAAAGCGACTATGCTTGTCGTAAGATGCGTCTAACGGGATCGGGTGGTTAGGCTCCCTGATTTGGTTGATGAATGTCATCGTATTCCAATTGCGTGGATCGATGCTCATGATGTTAATCACTGGATTGTCTGGTCCAGACTCGATTATTTACAGACCGCCGTCATATAGCTGGAATATTGCAGAGTGCGGCGTTAAACAACAAACAAATAAATAAATCAAACATAAATAAAGATATCCATCTTGTTTTGAAGTAATTCTAGTTTGCCAGTTTGAAATCAGACCAATCTTCACGGCTTGAGATCACGACTGACGCTAAATAACATATTTTATTCCAAAACAACTACCAGCTTCTGGAAATCATCACAGTCAATGTCAAAAAAGAAATCGAAAAAACGAACATTTGGCTGTGAGACGAAACAAGCCCTCATCTCGCAGATGAAGCAAATCATGATATTTTTGTTCGGCTTATGAGAGGGCCTGGGAGCGATTACATCCACCACTGACTCTGCGTGTCATAAAAAGGTAATAATTTCCTTGATTTAAATGCATTTTCAGCACCCACGCGTAGAAAGAAGACTGCTGAGAAAGTGTGTTAATGTGCAGTTCAATACTGTTCGTCTGACTGGCCCCCTGTTGGCATTTCAGGGCCTGCTCGGTAGACGTTCACGTAAAAGCGCGAAAACCCCTCCTCACGTGACACGTTTAAATATCGACATCACTATTTCTTCCGCCGATATCAAAGATTAATCAAAAGTGTACCTCAAATCACACGAGCGACGAGAGGCGGTGAGCGGGGAAGAGAGGCGGAGAACGAGGACTAGAGGCGGAGAGATGGGAAGAGAGGCGGAGAGATGGGAAGAGAGGCGGAGAGATGGGAAGAGAGACGGAGAGAGGGGAAGAGAGGCCGAGAGAGGGGAAGAGAGGCGGAGAGAGGGGAAGAGAGGCGGAGAGATGGGAAGAGAGGCGGAGAGAGGGGACGAGAGGCGGAGAGATGGGAAGAGAAACGGAGAGATGGGAAGAGAGGCGGAGAGAGGGGAAGAGAGGCGGAGAGATGGGAAGAGAGGCGGAGAGAGGGGAAGAGAGGCGGAGAGATGGGAAGAGAGGCGGAGAGAGGGGAAGAGAGGCGGAGAGAGGGGAAGAGAGGCAGGGAGAGAGGGGACTAGTGGTGAAGAGAGGCAGAGAGAGGGGAAGAGAGGCGGAGAGAGGGGAAGAGAGGCGGAGAGAGGGGAAGAGAGGCGGAGAGAGGGGAAGAGAGGCAGAGAGCGGGGAAGAGAGGCAGGGAGAGAGGGGACTAGTGGTGGAGAGAGGCAGAGAGAGGGGAAGAGAGGCAGAGAGCGGGGAAGAGAGGCAGGGAGAGAGGGGACTAGTGGTGAAGAGAGGCAGAGAAAGGGGAAGAGAGGCGGAGAGAGGGGAAGAGAGGCGGAGAGAGGGGAAGAGAGGCGGAGAGAGGGGAAGAGAGGCAGAGAGCGGGGAAGAGAGGCAGGGAGAGAGGGGACTAGTGGTGAAGAGAGGCAGAGAGAGGGGAAGAGAGACGGAGAGAGGGGAAGAGAGGCAGAGAGAGGGGAAGAGAGGCAGAGAGCGGGGAAGAGAGGCGGAGAACGAAGACTAGAGGCGGAGAGAGGGGAAGAGAGGCGGAGAGATGGGAAGAGAGGCGGAGAGAGGGGAAGAGAGGCAGAGAGCGGGGAAGAGAGGCAGGGAGAGAGGGGACTAGTGGTGGAGAGAGGCAGAGAGAGAGGGGAAGAGCGGGGACGAAAGGCGTAGAGAATGATGGGAAGAGAGGCGTAGAGATGGGAAGAGATGCGAAGAGGAGGGATGAAAGGCGTAGAGATGGGAAGAGAGGCGTAGAGATGGGAAGACATGCGAAGAGGAGGGATGAAAGGCGGAGAGAGGGGAAGAGCGGGGACGAGAGGCGGAGAGATGCGAAGGGAGACGGAGAGCGGGTATGAGAGGCGGAGAGTTGGGAGGAGAGGCGGAGAGACGGGAAGAAAAGCAGAAGGATTGGAAGAGAGGCGTTGAGCGAGAATGAGAGGCGGAGAGATGGGAAGAGAGGCGTAGAGAGGGGAAGAGAGGCGGAGAGCGGGAATGAGAGAGGGAGAGATGGGAAGAGAGACGGAGAGATGGGAAGAGAGGCGGAGAGCGGGGACGAGAGGCGGAGAGATGGGAAGAGCGGCGGAGAGAGGGGAAGAGAGGCGGAGAGGTGGGAAGAGAGGCGGGGAACGGGAACGAGAGGCGGACAGACGGGAAGAGAGGCGGAGAGAGGAGAAGAGAGGCGGAGAGAGGGGAAGAGAGGCGGAGAGATGGGAAGATAGGCGGAGAGAGGGGAAGAGAGGCAGAGAGCGGGGAAGAGAGGCAGGGAGAGAGGGGACTAGTGGTGGAGAGAGGCAGAGAGAGGGGAAGAGAGGCGGAGAGCGGGAAAGAGAGGCAGAGAGCGGGGAAGAGAGGCAGGGAGAGAGGGGACTAGTGGTGGAGAGAGGCAGAGAGAGGGGAAGAGAGGCAGAGAGCGGGGAAGAGAGGCAGGGAGAGAGGGGACTAGTGGTGGAGAGAGGGGAAGAGAGGCAGAGAGCGGGGAAGAGAGGCAGGGAGAGAGGGGACTAGTGGTGGAGAGAGGCAGAGAGAGGGGAAGAGCGGGGACGAGAGGCGTAGAGAATGATGGGAAGAGAGGCGTTGAGCGAGAATGTGAGGCGGACCGACTGGAAGAGAGGCGTAGAGATGGGAAGAGATGCGAAGAGGAGGGATGAAAGGCGGAGAGAGGGGAAGAGAGGCGTAGAGATGGGAAGACATGCGAAGAGGAGGGATGAAAGGCGGAGAGAGGGGAAGAGCGGGGACGAGAGGCGGAGAGATGCGAAGGGAGACGGAGAGCGGGTATGAGAGGCGGAGAGTTGGGAGGAGAGGCGGAGAGACGGGAAGAAAAGCAGAGGGATTGGAAGAGAGGCGTTGAGCGAGAATGAGAGGCGGAGAGATGGGAAGAGAGGCGTAGAGAGGGGAAGAGAGGCGGAGAGCGGGAATGAGAGAGGGAGAGATGGGAAGAGAGACGGAGAGATGGGAAGAGAGGCGGAGAGCGGGGACGAGAGGCGGAGAGATGGGAAGAGAGCGAGGACTAGAGGCGGGGAACGGGAAGGAGAGGCGGACAGATGGGAAGAGAGGCAGAGGGCGGAGACGAGAGACGGAGAGATGGGAAGAGAGGCGAAGCGGTGGGAAGAGAGGCGGAGAGGTGGGAAGAGAGGCGAAGCGGTGGGAAGAGAGGCGGAGAGGTGGGAAGAAAGGCGGAGAGGTGGGAAGAGAGGCGGAGAGATGGGAAGAGAGGCGGAGAGCGGGGAAGAGAGACGGAGAGAGGGGAAGAGAGGCGGAGAGGTGGGAAGAGAGGCGGAGAGGTGGGAAGAGAGGCGGAGAGAGGGGAAGAGAGGCAGAGAGGTGGGAAGAGAGGCGGAGAGGTGGGAAGAGAGGCGGAGAGGTGGGAAGAGAGGCAGAGAGGTGGGAAGAGAGGCAGAGAGGTGGGAAGAGAGGCGGAGAGGTGGGAAGAGAAGCGGAGAGAGGGGAAGAGAGGCGGAGAGATGGGAAGAGAGGCGGAGAGGTGGGAAGAGAGGCGGAGAGATGGGAAGAGAGGCGGAGAGGTAGGAAGAGAGGCGGAGAGAGGGGAAGAAAGGCGGAGAGGTGGGAAGAGAGGCGGAGAGATGGGAAGAGAGGCGGAGAGGTGGGAAGAGAGGCGGAGAGATGGGAAGAGAGGCGGAGAGATGGGAAGAGAGGCGGAGAGATGGGAAGAGAGGCGGAGAGGTGGGAAGAGAGGCGGAGAGAAGGGAAGAGAGGCGGAGAGATGGGAAGAGAGGCGGAGAGATGGGAAGAGAGGCGGAGAGGTGGGAAGAGAGGCGGAGAGGTGGGAAGAGAGGCGGAGAGAGGGGAAGAGAGGCGGAGAGATGGGAAGAGAGGCGGAGAGGTAGGAAGAGAGGCGGAGAGGTGGGAAGAGAGGCGGAGAGATGGGAAGAGAGGCGGAGAGAGGGGAAGAGAGGCGGAGAGGTAGGAAGAGAGGCGGAGAGATGGGAAGAGAGGCGGAGAGATGGGAAGAAAGGCGGAGAGAGGGGAAGAGAGGCGGAGAGAGGGGAAGAGAGGCGGAGAGGTGGGAAGAGAGGCGGAGAGATGGGAAGAGAGGCGGAGAGGTAGGAAGAGAGGCGGAGAGGTGGGAAGAGAGGCGGAGAGGTGGGAAGAGAGGCGGAGAGGTGGGAAGAGAGGCGGAGAGGTGGGACGAGAGGCGGAGAGCGGGGACGAGATGCGGAGAGATTGGAAGAGAGCGAGGACTAGAGGCGGGGAACGGGAAGGAGAGGCGGAGAGATGGGAAGAGAGGCCGAGAGCGGGAACGATAGGTAAAGGGCGGGGTAGAAAGGAGGAGAGAGGGGACGAGAGGCGGAGAGCGAGGACTAGAGGCGGGGAACGGGAACGGGGATCTTTATAGAAAACAGTTTTATTTGAATCATGAAAATACAAGTTGGGGACAAGTGATTCTTGTACAAATATTTGAGTGAGTGAATGCTTTAACCACTAGGCTACCCGACCGCCCCCTTTTGCTTAATGGCATATAGTCAGTTGTCGTCAGGGACGTGTGGAACATGTTTGGTGAAAATTATATTGAAATGTTCAGTTGATGATGAGATGAAAAGATTCTCAGTGACAAAAAGGACTGACGAAAACCAATAAGATATACTACTCAAAAGAAATCAAGGAACACCTTTCTTTCACATGTGAATAGTTTATCTGGTATGCCAGGCCAGATTAACTATAGTAATATGAAAGAATCGGGTGGTCTTTCACTTCTTTTGAGTAGTATATAAGATAACATTGACATCTCAATGGAGGTGAGGTGAAATGGGGTTTAACGTCGCGTCCAAGGTTATTGCACTTATATAGCGACGTGCATGTACGTGTGTGTGTTTGTGTGGCTGCTTGTACTAGTCCGGACTGATGCCGATTTATAGTTTTTAGAGCTCACTGAGATACCATGCCGCAGTTTAACATGAATACCCCACTAGAGACACAGTATACTGACTCCGAGCCGACCAGTCCTTGTTTTAGCCCCTTAATGCCGAGCGCCAGACAGGGTAACAACAAGTACCATCTTTTAACGTCTTTTGGTATGACGCGGCCGGGGATCGAACCCCGGACCTTCCGCTCTCCGGGCGGACGCTCTACCACTAGACCACGGAGGCGGTCTCATGTCAATGGAACCACGCAGCATGTATTGCCTGTCACGCAAGCTTTATCAGTCTTATATTGGTGGTGCTGGCTAGACAGGTCTTGATCCAAATGCTGCATGACATGCATCTGATCAGCAAAAGCCGCATTCACCGTAAACTGGTGATGATTGTTCATAAATCTTGTAGGGATGGGGAAATCCCTTTCATGGCTCCAGTAAAGCCGTATCCACGCAACATGTAAACAGCCAGGTCGAGACAGGTCAAGTCAGATAAACGAGTGGTTGATAGCATGAACAAAGACCAACGATGCTAATGGTGCGCGATGACACAAAACCCACCAAGGCAATCAAATCGTCCTGCCTTTGTTCAAATATCCTGAGGGCGGTCGGGTTGCCTAGTGGTTAAAGCGTTCGCTCGTCACGCCGAAGACCCGGGTTCGATTCCCGACATGGGTACAATGTGTGAAGCCAATTCCTGGTGTCCCCCGCCGTGATATTGCTGGAATATATCTTAAAGCGGCGTAAAATCATACTCAATCACTCGCTCACTCAAATATCCGTGAGTAGGGAAACGTTTTCTGTCCCTTCCAGATCACAGTTCTCACTACCGCTAAACAAAGCGTATCTTCCCGAAGCAAGGGAGTTAACTGACTATAAAAGTCCAGTTTCCACCCTTTCCGAACTAGGCTGGAATAATGGAGTTATACTTTGTCTGGACTAACGAGACTAGGCATAGTCCAATCAAAATCGCGTAATCAAATCGAAATCCGTGCAGATTTCGGTCGATTGCAGAATTTGCAATGCATGTGTAGCGTCAACAGATATTTTCCAAATCCTTTAATGCTTTTAAATAAGATGCTTACGTGATTCGATGCACTTCGCGAAGTAAGACCCGTTTTATCACAATATAGATCTTGATCATTGATCAGATCGTCTTCACTAAGTGCCGCCGTTTTGTTTTAAGCAAATGCAAGTGATATGGGTGGTGGAATTTGATTGGTCCAAAGGAGGGACATAGAAGGGACATAACTCGCACTAGCCACTGGTGGCGCTACGATCGAGGACAGAATTCCAGCCTGGGTCGGCAAGGGTGGAAACTGGACTTTTACAGTCAGTTCACTCCTTTGCCTCGGGAAGATGAACAAAGCGAGAACTAAGATATGATGTTAATAAGATTGTGTCACTTCTTACATTATAAAGTTTTGACTTGAGTTTACACTGCTTGAGCAATATTCCTGCAGTAACACATCAGGGAAACCAGAAAAGGAATTCATAACTAATAACAATCACCATCATCATCAATTAATATAGCGCCAAGATCATCATTTATTTATTTAGCGCTAAGTTCCAATCATCATCATCATCATCATCATCATCTATTAATAAGCACCAAGTTACAACGAGGCTGCTCACAGGCGATTTACTGTATTATTAACCTGGTCAGTGGCTCAATGTGCATTCGATTTTCATTCTCGGCTCCCAGGGTGTATACACCTCGAGCTGCCTGTCATCCTCTGGAAGGTTCCCAGTCGCGTTACTTTCTCATCCTACCTGGTACCCATTCATTGCTGGGTGTAAATTTCGAAGTCACTAGCTTGAGGAGACACTACATGATTGCCCTTTATGCGAACACCTGGTGTCATCGCTATTATGTCGCCGTTTTATATGTACGTGAACTGGGTCGATGTTTCTAGTGGTGGACTGAATTCCCCCGTGTTTCGTCATAAGCTCAGTAGCGTTTATCAATTATGCTGAATAAACTACAAAACAGATGCTCGGGCAGAGACCATGAAACTGTCCTCCCCACTTAGTTGGAAAACGAACATATTTCTTAAACGTTGTTTTTACACTATTATGCAGCAGAATATTTGCACTTGTACACATCAGACGTAAATCAAAATTAACAATCGTTTTTCGTTTCAACAAAATCAATACATGCGCTACGGTGTGACTAGATACCTGGTCCATCACCTGATTGTTTGTGTACAGGCCATGGTGGCATGACAGGAGTACTACTCTGGGTGTCAGGCAACATATAACCTTTTCTATCCAATTTGTGTGGGTGATGCCTGCAATCGGTAGGGCAGGACATGCCTGTCTGCCCTATTTGCAAGACAGAATCACTAGAAACTGCCAGAAGCCAACCTGCCGAACACAGTCACCAATCCAACTGCTCTCCCCGCCATACATTGTTCAGCTTCACCTGATGTGCAACTCCCCAGGCAAGGGTGTCAACTGACTACAAAAGTCCAGTACCCACCCTTGCCGAATTTCTTGGAATTTCCAAGCTCGATCGTAGCGACACCAGTGGCACATTTGATTGGACTATGCATAGACTCGTTAGTCCAGCCGAAATGTAACTCCTTAATACCAGCCTAGTTCGGCAAGGGTGGAAACTGGACTTTTATAGTCAGTTAACTCTCTTGCCTCGGGAAGATGTAAGGGATGCAACTCTGTGTTTACTATTACTAATATCAACAAATGAAAATGCAACACAGAAATTGTTTAATTCAAGTTATTTTATTAGTTTTTTAAAATATTGGTGTATTCATTCTCAAATAACATAGAACTGGCATCTTTGAAAATTGATACTTTAATCCAGGTGGTTTTGATGACCTGTAAATGTTTACCTGACGGAGACGCAGAAAGACGCCTGAAGATGTTCCAATAGATCAAACACAAAAACCTTCTACAATGGATTAGGGCTTTCATAACACCTTTGTTGCGATGATGTATCTTGATGGTGGGAATATCATAGGATACACCAAGAGATACACGATACACATCAAAGGGAATGACTTGGGCTCAATCAGTGCATATTTCATCATGTTGTTCATAGACAACCATCAAACAAACAAAGAACTCTTGAATATGTACTAGCAGAAAATTAAATTTTACAAACCATTTTCACACTTAGAAACTAGTACTCATTTACTGCGTGTATCAATACATCAGCTAAACGATCATGAACATATCATTATAGGCTTAATGAGAACATCAGTTTTCACTTTGAAACTAATTTTTTTTATATTTACTCTTGAGAAGTACAATCTCATAATCCTGTAAACCATTTGATAATGAACATTGCTTTCTGGAAGATATATCATCACTGGTAATGGTCATCTAAACATGGTAAAGATAACATGAAAAACACCGCTGAAACACTTGTAAACAATATGAACAATTCCCGCTGAAGTAATATCTTGGGTTAAATGTATATGGATTATTTTCTTAAATTGATGAGTCAGCAGAGTTCTTGTAGTTCCTGACTTCTGTCACATGAGATGCAGCCAGTTCAACCAGGTGACACCACCTGTCAGGGAGGGTGTCCCATCTATCACAATGTCCAGCCAACACCTCAGTTCATTCACACACAAACTAAGCACCTGTTCACTTTTTTCGTCCCCCTCCACCAGAGAGGATCATCGCTATCCTGATGAAGATGTTCACAGTGTCCAGGTAGATTCCAATGCACCTGTAACAGAAGGAGTGAGTGAGTGAGTGTTCTTCAATACACCCCAGCAATATTCCAGCTATATTCCGGCTATATCCTGGCAGCCAACAGGCAACTGAGTCTGGACAAGACAAGTTAAGTTAAGTGAGTTAAAGCTTTACGTCACATTGGCAATATTACAGCCATATCATGACGAGAACATTTATAGTACTGACATTAAAATAAAACACTTGTCATCGACAGACAGTAGACTGGACAAGACAAACCAGTGGTCATAGACAACAAACCCTGATACATAAAGTGAGTGAGGGAGTATTGTTTTACGCCGCTTTTAGCAATATTCCAGCAATATCACGACGGGGGACACCAGAAATGGGCTTCACACAATGTACCCATGTCAGGAATCGAACCCGGGTCTTCGGCGTGACGAGCGAACGCTTTAACCACTAGGCTACCCGATCGCCCCTGATACATAAAGGCTACAACATACAGATTGCTACATGTGTGGCTGTCAAGAAGGAGCTCTGAAACATTGAGACAAAGAATAAAATAAGTTGCTAAAAAGTGTCATGTATTCATGTTCTTTCAATTTCTAAATGCCTATCAAAGACTTCATGTGGCTGTCTTATACCATTTTACTTACAATGAGTTGTTTCAAGATGTATCTAACAAGCAAAAGCAAGCTGTGAGATAAATGGTATCTGACAGGCCTGACGGCAGTACCGTAATCTGTTTCTTACACAAACTAAAACCTCACAATTTTAGCATCGATGCATATTTCTCATGGTTTGTCTGTTCTCACAGTAGCAGTGATGATGCATGGAGACGTCATCCGGGCTACTTATTTCTAGTGTTACCCTCCACACAAAAAATTTGCCATATCTGTGGATTATCAAGGTACTGTTGATAAGGTTAATAAGGTTGATAAGGCAAACTAGACGAAATCAAAGAGAGTATATTAAAATTCTAAAACCATAAAGTTTTCTCACAGACTGAATTTGACTGAAGCATGGTTATCTTATAAATGAATTACAATCAGGAAAGTAGTCCATCATTATCTGACCGCAGGTCATCACCATGGAGTAGCCAATCACTGGCCTGGAATTTGATCTCACACATATGTTTGATACCAGTTATCTCACCCACAGGTGTGTATAAAACAAAGTCCCAATCATTGTTTCTGTGACAACCTGATAACTGGGGGTCTATTCCAGCTTTAGAAATGGGTTTTATAAGACTAGCCAAGAGGACTAGTGGAAACTTTATTTCACTAGTCCTCAGAGTATTCAGCTAGTCCTGCTTGAAGACAACAAAAATGTTTACTATGTTTACATTTTCTATCAGTTTTATTCAGTGCCAGTTTGTAGCCAGATTGAAGCATTGAGAACTGTTTCAGAATCATACCACTCAAATGCTAGTATTCTATGAGGACTACCATCGTTGGAGTTTTATTTGTCCTCAGAACAATTTAGTAGTCATTTAGCACATTGTCAAATTTACTTTATTTTCATGGGTAGCAATTTGGGTACTCAAAGTAACTTTGGTCAGACATGACAGCCTATACACACAGGTATATAAGACTTATATATGCAGAAATAGGCATCTTAGAGAACATGGCAAACATAATTTACGAATGACCTTCACTTTGATGTTAACTGCATAGATAGGTAACACAAGACCTTTCGCAATATCTGCCCCACCTTAAGGAAGACAGGTACAAATTTCATTTACCTACAGTAAGTTCTTCTCAAGTTTGGCAACAAACAAACCGATTTCAAGACCAGGTTACCTTGAGGATAACATTGACCATTGACATAACGTGTATTCAAATTGACATTATATGTAATGGTGAAAATGCCAATATTTTATTGGCTATGACCTTTAGGATGACCTGGGCCCACTTGCACAAAGCTATCTTAGCACTATGACTATCTAAAGTCTGTGTCAGAGTATGGGCGTTACTATCATCATAGCACTAAGATCATTTTGACTTAGACTTAACCTTGACTTAACATGTATTCGAAAAACAAAAGAACATCCAAAAGACATACAGAATATCTGCAGAAAAAGGAGTTGTAAGGAAGATTGCACAATATGTAAGTTTCAGTGATCTACAGTAAATCCATTTCAAGCTAAGGTTCTTAGGATAACCTTCATTCCTGACATGCCAAAGTGTCAAAAACATTGCCCAGGGTGCTGTTGTAATAAGCGATCTTAGCGCTAAGATGATCATAACTCCCATACCTTAACATAGACTTAAGACAGTCGTGGTGCTAAGGTTGTTTTGTACAACGGCACCCAGGACTATAATTGAGGTATGCCTAATACTCCGAAGATGTCCAAGCACCCTGTGGTTCTAAAGACAAAGGTTAGGTTATTGTAGGTGCTCAAATTTACCACCCCAGTTTATGTGGCTGCTTCAGAATGCAGACATATTTCCCCTGTTTATCATAGCAACAACATGTCCAATTCAACCATGTTTTAAAACAAATTGATAACTTGGCCAAATTTCTACTTACGCATTAACTGGGTCATATTTGCGAGCAGCATATGTGGGATATGTCTCGGCATTCCTGATGATTTTCTGACTGTCATAGAGCAGGAACATACTGAAGAGCACCAGGCCGCCGTACACACTGATAGAGTACAGCCCCGCCCCCAGCGCTGTAGATGGTGGCAGGAACATCCCTCCTGAAGCGAGGAAATACAAACATCAGTAAACATTTCTCACAGTGCTAGTCAAGTCTCTTGACCATAAAAATGAAGAAAAAAATATGAAGCATCTTAAAATCCTTTCTGGTTCGCCTTTCATTTTCTTACAACACGAAATCTAATGTTTGTTTGTTTGTTGCTGTTGTTGTTTAACTCTGCACTCACCAATCTTCCAGCTACATGACAGCAGTCTGAAAATCATCAAGTCTTGACCAGACAATCCAGTGATTGACATCATAAGCATCGATCCACGCAATTGGGATATGATATGTATTAACCAAGTCAGCAAGTCTGACAACCCAATCTCCTAAGTCGCCTCTTATGACAAGCATAGTTGCCTTTTACAGCAAGCATGGGTTGCTGACCTATTCTAACCCGGATCATCACGGGTCCAGATCTAATGAAATATATGTATATATACACCTGGACAAGAAAAAGTTTAGAACCCACATGGTATTGGAAACAAAATCTATGAAACTGCATCTTTCAAAGAGTTTGTCACATACCATTTTGTTTTTCACTTCAAATCATAGCATTGTACATAAGCAAATTTGTACACAAGGATACACTTGAAGTCCAAATACAGGGTAGATAGTCATTATCTTACTACTATTTCAGAAACAATGTACACTTTAGTGGCTGATTCCCTTTCCAAACCAGGAATTGGTACCACATTTGATAATGTCAATAATTCTTCCAATTATGTCTCTAGCTTATAGCGCTATACACTGGATCAACCAAATTGTAGGGTCCCAATTCCAAGGCAGACAACTCACCAATGGAGGAAGCAAACACAACTCCAAGTCCGATAGCTAAGGGGCCTCCCATGTTGAGGAACTTTTCACTTGGGGCACACATTGCCACAGTAGAGAGAGCTGGAACACACAGAAGTCAGATATTGAATTATGGTTGCATTCTGCTTATCTTCAGGTTGTAGAAGCAGTAGGCTCATATGACAATAAACGTGGATGATTCAATTCCTTCCGTCTTCCTTCCTTCTGATGTGCAAGTGGTTCAGGCATAATAATGTCATCATCAGCTCAATTCCAGGCATAAAAGGGCCTACAGGTAAACCACCTGGCCCCAATTTCTCGAAACAAACTTAAGTTTTTACTCAAATCTCAAACTGAAATCGGGGCCTGGACTCAATTGTAGTTGCTTTACTCTCAAATCTCACATCATTTGGGACTTTGTCATGTTGTTTCTTTGAAAGAAATTATATGTTAAAAAGACCCCACTCCTGACATTCCAGGCCAAACATTTCACAGTGATTCCAAGCAATGATCAATGAGTGAGACAATGTTGTTTAACAATGTTATCAGCAACATTCCAGCTATATCAGATGTAAATATCTAACTATCTTACTAGAAGAATAGGTAACTGAGGACCAATTTTCTTCTCTGGCATCTATCCTGGCATTCACACTCAGCAACATTCCAGCTATATCAGATGTAAATATCTAACTATCTTACTAGAAGAATAGGTAACTGAGGACCAATTTTCTTCTCTGGCATCTATCCTGGCATTCACACTCAGCAACATTCCAGCTATATCAGATGTAAATATCTAACTATCTTACTAGAAGAATAGGTAACTGAGGACCAATTTTCTTCTCTGGCATCTATCCTGGGATTCACACTCAGCAACATTCCAGCTACATTATGACATCCAGGACCCAGACAATCCAGTGATTGATATTATGAGCAACAATCCAGGCCATCATGCCATGATGACACTCAATATACCAATCACCGAGCCTCACCATCCCCAAGTCGACTCCTTGCTCGGGACTAATTCTAATCTGGAATCCCCAAGGGGGACATGTTTTGAAGATATTAAAGCCCACCAACACTACAGCGTTCACATACCTCCCACCAAGCCAGCTGTGTACCAGGCCGCACGGATCAGCAGTGGGCCCCCCAACATGGTGATGGGGGCTATGACTGCTCCAACCACACCGCTGTAGCCGATCCAGGCCAGCTGCTTCATCCCAAACCCTTCACTGTAGGGGATGGACCGGCACACCATGCCTGCTCCTATCATAGCTGCAAACGTTGCTCCTATAGCCTGACAACATACCAGGTTATAAGGTGAGGGGAAATGGGCTGTAACATGCATTTAAGATTACAGTACTCACTTAGTGTGTGTGTGTGCCTGCGTGTGTATTAAAAGTTCTCGGCATGGATTGAAATCTTGGCATGGATTGAAAGTTCTTAGAATGGATTGAAAGTTTTTTTTTGCATGAACAAAAAGTTCTTAGCACAGATTGAAAGTTCTAAGCATGAACTGAGAGTACTTAGAATGGATTGAAAGTTCTTATGCAAGAATAAAAAGTTCTTAGTATGGATTGAAAGTTCTTGGCATGGATTGAAAGTTCTTAGTATTGATTGACATGGATTGAAAGTTCTTAGCATGGATTGACATGGATTGAAAGTTCTTAGCATGGATTGACATGGATTGAAAGTTCTTAGCATGGATTGACATGGATTGAAAGTTCTTAGCATGGATTGACATGGATTGAAAGTTCTTAGCATGGATTGAAAGTTCTTAGCATGGATTGAAAGTTCTTGGCATGGATTGAAAGAGCTTGGCATGGATTGAAAGTTCTTAGGCATTGATTGAAAGTTCTTGCATGTTCTTCTGTTATCAACTCACCATCCAGGAGTTCTTCATCATCATTCTCATCATGGCAGGGTTGCGACTGACAGCCACTGCGGACAGAGCTGTGATGGCCACACTCCCACCAAAATACATGTAGGTCGCTCGGATCCTCTTCTTCACTTCCTCAGGCCATAGGCTGCAGATATAGACCACATTGATAATGATAACAATAATCATAATAATAATAACCATAATATGTACTTTCAAACAAAACAATCCTTCTGGGTCAGGGTTTGACATGCTTCTAATATTACAATATACTTAAGTCTATGATACCTTTAAATCATGTTTTATATGACAAAGTCGACATACACTTGTGTAGTTCAAATATCAATATTAAATATGAAATAAAATATGACTGATTAGAAGGCTAAGTTGGAGTTTTGAACATTTTGGTTTTGGCTTATCACCATGATCTGACAAACAACAGCTGAGAAACAACAGCTTGAATGAGCATGGTTTTACACTGCCTTTAGCATATTTAGCAACATTCCAGCAGAAATGGGCTTCACACATTGTACCCTGTTGGGCAAGGAACGTGTGTCTTTGGCACTACAAGCGAATGCTTTAACTACTAAGCTACCCCATAGTCCCAGAGAAACAAGATTTTGAAGGAAGTTCAAGTGTTGGGTCAGAGACAGTCATGAATATTGGTTTGTATGTTTGTTGTTTAATGCTTCACGCAGCAATATTCCAGCTATATGACGATGGTCTGTAAATAATCAAGTCTGGACCAGACAATCCAGTGATTGACATCCGGAGCATCGATCTATGCAACTGGGACACAATGACAATGACATGAGTCTGACCATGAATATTGGTAACACTGTATACGTTGTCTGTTCAAATCCACTCAGTGTTAATTTGTGAGTTTAGTGTAACTCCACTTTGAACAGTATTTTAGTAACTCAGCTGCGGGAGAAAAGCCTGAAGTGATACAGTGTACCGAGGTCTGGTGCTGACAAACCAAGGATGATAGGAAGTCAAACCGTGGATATTGACTCAGACCAGATAAAGGGAGGAAACTCTACATTAGTAAGGGAGACAATTCTGCACAGCGAATTATTGCCTTTGGCAAACTGTGCCCACATATCATAGAGTGATATGAAGAAAGTACATACACAGATCTGTCAATGGCTCCGACTTCATTGGACATGCCTAGACCATAGTAGCACAGTGCACCAAGGCCAACCAGAGATGCGCCGGCCACAACACCTCGCCCAATGCTAAAGGCTGCAATAAATATACATAGATTCTTACACTAAGGAACATTAATGTCACAGTGTCCCGTTTAATGTCTTCATACATGTCTCCATTTTGGGAAAAGTAGTGTAAAGGGACACTGGGCTCAATTGATTCAAGACATTAAAATAATACAAATTAAAACCTTCCACTATTTTCTATTGCACTCTTGACGTAAAAATTACTGGTACTCATTTATATTGACTGGTTTTTGTCCAGCAGAAAAGTGTACTTGCTGAACCCAATCTCTCTTGGTTCTCAGGCACTGTCCGCATCATCATTAAGTCTGCCACACGTTTTGTTTTTATTTCCATTTTCAAAAAGAAGAAGAAAAGAAATCCTAATACTAATGCGATCCAATATAGCATGCAGTAACTTCCCATTACATGCGCACAGCTTTACTGCATATCTCGTGTTATGGTCATGGCGGCAGTAGAAGATTGAATGCTTGTTTATGTTGGGAGGCCCTTTCCCAGGTTGATGGTACACAACTGTTTTTTTGATTACATACTAGTTTGAACAACACATCGCCAGCTCGCTCTATATTTTCAAAACTCATTGCCTGAGAACCAATTCTTTTTATTTTTTTAAGCCAAAAATGTCTTAATATGATTATGACAAATAAACCACCATACCTGAATCCCCTGCAGGGGCCATTGCCATTTCTTTCAAACTGCGAGTCTTGGCACGCCGGCTGAGGCCAGATCTTGTTTGAGAGGCATAGTTCTGTACTCTGATGACGACACCTGGTCTGCTGGCTGATCGGGCTGTGGATTGTCCAAATGTTGTGACAAAGGCTGTCAGAGGGATCTTTCCCACAGATGCAAACCTTGCGGCTAGCATTGTTGCTTGTTGCTTTGTTGTTCTGTAGATGCCTTGATGATTGTATAACTGGAACCTGTACCATGTTTAAGAAAAGAATTTTATTTTAAAATGCTATAGGATCGAGAAGTGACTTCACCAGTTTTCAGCTTGAGTCTTTATTTGGAATAAAGGGCATACAGAATAACCATACAGAGATTTTGCTAGCGACAAATGTCATTAGGACATAATATTGGCTAAATTTGATAGGACACTGTTCTATATTATTATCAAAACTGAAAAGTGTCATACTATTTGATATTGATTTTACAACACTTTGCAACATAATGAATTTGTTTCTTGCTATAAGCCAACGAAACATCAGTCAAAAACACTAATATGACATGATGAGTGAGTGAGTGTCAGCAGTTTTATGGAAACAAGACTAAAAAGTAACACATGAAGATGTACTGATATACATCCGTCATCAATACACATATCACAATACAACCATTGCATATCAATACTTCCTGATACAGTCACAGAAGATTTAGTATATTATTATGTAATTTATATCTACTACCTTGAGACATTTGGATGGACTGGTTTCCTATTTAAACCATTTCAACAGCACAAGCATGACTCTGTTTACATTAACATTTCATACTGATGACATGTTTATAGGCAGCCTCATTCATCCATACTCTCACAAACTGAAGTCTGGATTATTTAAGACCATGTACCATTTGAAAAGTACAAATGTAAATAATATTGGCCCCAATACATATTCCAAATGTATCTCAATACAGCTCTCCATACTGAGATATTGCAATATATATGTGCCAAAACGCCAACCCTAGTCATAGACTATCGCAACCCTGGAGTAAACCATCAGTACTGTAAGGTGTAAACAAACCTTGGATAATAATCAGTACGAATCTGACAACTTACTAAGTGATTGAGTGTGGTGTAATGCTGCTTTTATCAATGTTCAAGCAATATCATGGCTGTGGACACCAGAAACGGGCTTCACATATTGTACCATGTGGGGACTCAAACCCGGGTCTTCAGGGTGACAAGCTTAACCACTAGGCAACCCAACCAACCCTCCATGATCAGTGAGTGAGCCCCAGCACAACTATTAACATCTGTAGTTGTTTCTCTCCATTTCCATCAAGACTTAACTTTGCTGTGAAATGCAGCAGCTTGGACCATGTTGGTGTTTAAAGTCTGATTTGTCATGCACCTCACTGTTGCAGATGCTGTGGCCGTTTGCTCTTATTTAATGAAACATACATTTGTTTACAGACTGGAGAAAAGTTGGCAAACATTCTAAGCCTAAACTTGTGGTGTGGTCACTGGAGCAGAACTTCTCTCGCTGAATAATGAGTGAGTGAGTTTGATTTTACGCCGCTTTTAGCAATATTCCAGCAATATCACGGCGGGGGGACACCAGAAATGGGCTTCACACATTGTACCCATGACGGGAATCGAACCCGGGTCTTCGGCGTGACGATCGAACGCTTTAACCACTAGGCTACCCGACCGCCCCTCTCGCTGAATAAGGTGGGCAGAGTCAAGTAAGCTCTGGGGTGACAAGTAATTTTGTATGAGCAATGCTTTAGAACGATCAACGTAATGTCCTTTAAAGCATAGAAATAATTTAACGTTTATATTTTCTAACATCCTTCTGTTACAGGCTGTGAAGGGTAAGACATTAAATTCATATTTGACAAGTCCGAGGCTAAGTTAAAACTACCAAGACTACGGAGGACTTTCTTTTCAGTTGTTTGATTTCTGTCTGAAATGAGCGGACGAGTAACAAATTATTCAATATGTCTCTGGTCTATCCATTGGGTTATAGCGAAAACGGCACCTCAGCAAAACGTCACCGGGCGAAAACGGCACCTTGAATCGAGCGAAAACGGCACCTTATTATTTTTTTTACCTTGGTCAAATAAATGATATTAAACTTACATTGTAACTTGCAAACGCCAATAATTGTGAGATGTTAAAACAAGTTTACATTAGAAATTAGCCTCTACTCCAACTATAGGATGGAGATGGAGATCTCTCCCTGACCCAAGTACTCTCAAAATGTTCGGTTGTACATGGACCAATGTTGTGAAGAGGAGGATGATGATGATGATGACGATGGACATGCCACAAAACTGTATATATGAACATATTTACTTATCTGTGAAAACAGGAAATACAATGTAAGTACATCACACACATCCAATGACATGTAAATACATCAAATACCATGTAAATAAACCCTATATATTACTTCAAAAATCGTTGTTATCGTTCTTAAAAATAGAGGTGCCGTTTTCGCCCAACACATAGTAGCCGTTTTCGCCAAATGCGGTGCCGTTTTCGCCAGAGAAATCGGTGACGTTTTGCCGAGGTGCGATTTTAGCCTGCACCCTATCCATTCGCTAGCACAAATGGTTTTATTTTGCCCCAAATCATAAAAACAAAACCTCATAATCTGTTGATATTGCAGCCAGAACGGCCGTAGTTTACACTCTCACATAAAAAGCAGAGATGACGAGCTAGTCACGAGATACCTGCTGAAATCACAACTTGTAAGTGATCTCCACTAGTGTCAGCTGGTGCTACTGGAAGGCTAGTTGATGTTCCAAGTTGTAGACCACTTTTACCTTTGAATATCACCAAATGAAATATCTTACGCGGATCAAGGACAAACTCAAGGACTTCTTGTGTGCGTATAATTGTCACAAACACACTGATCCAGAGTAGAACCGAAACTATACAGACACACTGACCACTTACGTAAAATGTGTACGAAATCCGAAAATCTCGACCTGGAAACTGACGAAATAGTTATGAAGTTTTACATGTTTTCTGCGATGACGAAACCTACGGTTTATAGAGACAGAACCCAGCTAAAGCGCATATTTATACAGAGACGGAGCCCAGCTGCCAAGGTAACCGGAAATGGTGAAAACAACATGGGAACGAGGGTAGGGATTGCGCTCCTGGGCGACGCTTTGTTTTTCAAGATGATTCTACCTGTAGTGTTCGTTTATTTAATGATACTGACACTATCTACGTCAAAAAGCCTCACCCACTTTAGTCGACCCTTTCAACAAGCAAAGTTTACTTGGGACTAAAACCCATCAATAATGTCTACACTGTCGCTTGTCCTATTTATGTAATGATGCTGGCACGGCTCGTACGTGATATACTTAGTTTACGGATTTATAAAATACATCTGCCCACATTTTACAAATTCGATTTAAAGCTAAAGAAATTCCAGTCTGTTTTCTTCCTGTCGAATGTCTACACATGTCCTCCTGAAGAATGGATCAATATGGAAGATTAAGCAGGTCTTGCCAGCCTCAAAATCTCCAAGCATACGGCAGGTTTCTTTCACAACATTAATTTTTGTTCTGTTTCTGTCTCCTGACTATACATTTAAAAGGTCTCTTTTGAAAAGTATTTCTTTGAACACCAACTCTATGGGTTTAAAGATCCGGGGAGAGAATAGATCTTCAGCAACCCATTCTTGTCGTTAGATGGTAACTATGACGGGATCGGGTGGTCAGGGTCGCTGACCTGGTTGATGGATGTCATCGTATCCCATCTGCGTTGATCGATGCTCATGATGTCAATCACTGGATTGTTTGATCCAGACTCGATTATTTACATACCGCCGTCATATAGCTTGAATATTGCTGAGTGCGGCGTTCAACACAAAAAAACCTATGGCTTTGGATAGGGATATCCAACACTTAAATACTTTTCCGGTATGTTTTGTTTGTTTGTTTGTTGTTTATCGCCGCACTCAGAAATATTCCAGCTGTATGATGGCGGTTTGTAAATAATCGCGTCCGGACCTGATAATCCAGTGATTGACATCATTAGCGTTTATCCGCTAAAATGGGATACGATGGCATGCATCAACAAAGTCAGTGAGCCTGGCCACCCGATCCCGTTAGTCGCCTCTTACGACGGTAGAGTTGATAAGCACACATTAAGTTACTATATATGCGTCATCTAGAATGTAAAACATTGAACTCGTCCATAACTTTAGTTACGTACATTGCCAACAAAAATGATTCGAAATTGTGTTTGTGAATGTTGTTTTACGCTGAGGCCAGCCACTAATATTCCATATATCACTGCGTCCTGTAAATAATCCACGCTATCAGACATGACGTCACATAGCGCGAAGCATATGTTTATAAGTTACAGGGAAGTGACTTTGAGAATTAATAATTTGGGAGTTTTTTTTCCACAGAGCCAGTAATGAATTCTCTCCACCTGTCGTGGTCAGCAGACACACTAACAAGGTATCAGTTGTAAACTGTAACCACAGTAGTGGTTTAAATTGTTTATTTAAGTGTTACACGCAACTGAACATGGACAATATACACGATATATACATATAAAATACAGTGCGTCGAGCCACAAATTGGCCGATGAGACACAATAATCGAATTATACAATACCAAAAAATAAATATATAAATGAAGTTCACTTTTTGGTAACGTGTGATTGTTATAGAGATCTAAGACTTAATCTTTGGCAGAAAGTATCCCTTATTAACCCCTCGTTTATTACCATGTCTCCTGCAGACTAAACCGTAATCTTAATGCAGTGCGACGATCTGTTTAAACCACTTGCTGCATTAATCTTCTCAATGTATCGGAGAAGAAAATATATAAAACAATAAACTGGGTAGTTGTGTGCGTGTGATAATTCTTATCATCTATCATGTTTTGCTGTGTTGTAGGGTTGATGTGTGGGGGTGCTGTGGGTTGTGATGGGTGCTTGTTTCATGTTGTCGGGTGTGTGTGTGTGTGTGGGGGGGGGGGGGGGGGGGTTGGGAGGGAGTGTGTGTATGCGGCGGTGGATTGTTACTTTGTTGGTGTCTTCGTGCGTGGTTGGTGCTTCTTTTTTGTGGAGGCGTGGAGGGATGTGGATGCGAGGGAGGACGTGGTTGATGGTGCGGATGAGGGAGTTGGTGTGGATGCGAGAATGGATACAGGTGAGGGTGTGTTTAAGAAATAGGGTGTGCGTGAGGGTAATGTGTGGCGGTGAGGGTTCGAGCGAGGGTTCGGATGTGATTGAACGGATGTCAATGAGGGTTTGGGTGTGTCTGAATGTGCGGGTGTGTTTGCGTGGTTTGCGTAAGCTGCTGTGAGTGAAGGCCTGGATGTGGGAATGGATGTGGTTGTGCGTATATAGGATGTTTTTTTGGGGGGGATAATATTATGAATATTATTTTCATAATTACTATTAAATGTGGTGTGTACACATATAAAATATTGTTTCTATGAGTCTTTTAGTGTCTCGTAGGCCAATTTGGCCGGCCGCGGAGTTTTTGCGTTCCTGCCTTGTCATTTTATATGTGCAGCGGGTGACACTATAATAAAATATTATTATTATTATTCTATAAAAAAATTAAACTACTGGTTGTATAAAAATAGATTACAAAATTTGCCTTCTTCGAAACATTTTATAAATTGTTGAGTCTGAAAGGCTTTGTATTTTTCTTTCGTTCCTCAAATATACAACTTTATCTTCATCGTTAAAATTAAAGTTATTAAACCAAGGATTATTTTCATATGCTGCATTAAAAAGATTGAAACGCAAAGCCAATACTGTCATGATATCTAGTGGTATATTTTCAAATGTAAAATACTCGCATTGTGTGCACACTGAAAGGAAAGATGGTGGTATAATAATATACTACTCAAAAGATGGACGACCCGATCTTTTCCTCTTACCCCAGGGGGCACGGGTGGCCCAGTCGTCTAAGGCGCCGCGATTCGCTGCGCAGAGTTGCGTCCCTTAGGCACGCCAGAAACCAATGATTGTGGGTTCGAATCCCGGTTCGCCCCGATTATGTTTCTAGGTTTGTCAGCAGTATACCCGTGCTCGTTGGTTTCACCGAAGTGGTAAACGTCTGAGGCCTGCATCACTTCGGGCTTTCCTCCCACATTAAGCTGACACGCTGCGATATAACTGGAATACTGTTAAAAGCGGCGTTAAACCCAACTCACTCACTCACTCCTCTTACTCCATGTACATTGTTAAATGGAGTTACAAGACGAGAACAAGGGGAACAAGAGTTTGACGTCATACATAACTCCTCTTACAAACACAAAATATAGCATTAAACATTCACATTTATGAATGTCTAAATATGTCAAGAAACATATAACTTGAAATGTTTAAAAATATGCAAATTGAAAGCACTGGCCTAGTACGCTGTTATCTGGAGTAAGCTAGAGTTTTACACCTATCGATATATTGTTGAAAGTCAAATATTGTCTAGACAATATAAAAACAAAAATGCATCTTGAATAACAGACATATTTCTTATAACGCAACGTACTTAATTATAAGGTAAAAATACTAGTTGACCCGTGTATGATTCAAATGTCCATGGTCGTTGCCTCATCATCCATCGTTGTCATAGCCGGTGTAGCCGTAGACTCAAACCCCGTAGTAGCAGCTGAAGGCGTTGTTGGATCTTCATCCATCGTTGTCATAGCCGATGAAGCCGTAGACTCAAAGTCCGTAGTCGCAGCTGAAGTCGTTGCCTCATCATCCGTCGTCGCCATAACCGGTGCCAATTCCTCGAGCACCGTAGTCGCAATTACAGTCGTTGTTGGGTCATCATCCATCGTTGTCATAGCCGGTGTGGCTGAAGACTCAAAGTCCGTGGTCGCGTCTGAAGTCGTTGGGTCATCATCCATCGTTGTCATAGCCGATGTAGCCGTAGACTCAAAGTCTGTAGTCGTAGCTGCAGTCGTTGTTTCCTCATCATCCATCGTCGCCATAACCGGTGTAGCCAATTCCTCGAGCACCGTAGCAGCAGCAGTCGTTGGGTCATCATCCATCGTTGTCATAGCCGATGTTGCCGTAGACTCAAAGTCCGTAGTCGCAGCTGCAGTCGTTAGGTCATCATCCATCGTTGTCATAGCCGATGTAGCCGTAGATTCAAAGTCCGTAGTCGCAGCTGCAGTCGTTGTTTCCTCATCATCCATCGTTGCCATAACAGGTGTAGCTAATTCATCAAGCACAACAGTCGCAGCAGCAGTCGTTGTAGTTGTTGGCGTCGTAGCTGTTTGTGTCGTTGACGTCATAGCAGCAGTGGTACTGGTAGTCGCGGAAGAGGTAGTTATTGCAACTTAAAGATAAGTAGGAATTTGCGTTACATACATGACACGCATAACACATAGTAAATAACTACAGGTTAATTGTTCTGATTGTGCGTGTCCATCAGAGAATGAAGACAAATTAAATAGCGGCCCTGAGTTAAAAACGATCTCTTCAAGGATGATATGGATTTAAATTTAAGTTCTCATTAAATCCATACCTACCCCACGTGGGCTATGAACACGTTGGGGGGCGGTCGGATAGCCTATAGAGGTTAAAGCGTTCGCTCGTCACGTCGAAGACCCGGGTTCGATTCCCGACATGGGTACAATATGTGAAGGCCATTTCTAGCTAAAAGCGGCATAAAACAATACTGCACCGAACTCAATAATCCAAACCCCTGAACCAAACCTCACTCCCCTCCCATGTAAATCGAATCGTCCAACCTCGGCACGTGCACATAAAGGGAAGTAATAGAGAAAAACAGGCTGCTGAAGCAGAAACACGCTAGTGATGAAACAACACTGTTGCGGTGATATTGCTGTACAGCTTGTAAATGCCGCTACACTATATAAGTTAATCGTCCTGAATACGGTTCATTTATGGTGTAGTACGGTGTATCATTAAAGATCTTACCTGTAGTCAACGCGTCCTGAAATGCCTGGCTCACTGTCAAAGAAAAGATAAATCACTATAACTGATTATGTCCTCATACAAACTGCTGAGCACAAAAAGTATACACTTGAAAACAGTCGCCGAAATTGCTACCCCTTGTTCCTTGAGATGTCATGTGCACGTTGGTTGGTTGGTTTGTCGTTTTACGCAGCACTCGGCAATATTCCAGCTCTATGACGGCGGTCTGTAAATAATCGAGTCTGGACCAGACAATCCAGTGATTAATATCATGAGCATCGGTCCACGCAATTGGGATCGATGACATGCTTCAACCAAGTCAGCGAGCCTGACCACAGGACCTCGTTAGTCGCCTTTTACGACAAGCATAGTCGCCTTTTACGGCAAGCATGAGTTGCTGAAGACCTATTCTACCCCGGATCTTCACAGGTCGTCATATGCACGTAACCTGTTGTGAGAAACTCATTGATATGATCCATATACTTTGTTTGTTTGTTTTCTGTTTGTTTGTTGTTGTTTAACACGGCACTCAGCAATATTCCAGCTATTTGACGGCGGCCTATGAATACTCGAATCTGGACCAGACATTCTGGTGAGTGACATCATGAGCATCGATCTACGCAACTGGGATACGATGACATGCATCAACCATGTCAGGGAGCCTGACCAGCAGATTCCGTTACTTGCCTCTCACGACAAGCCTGGGCTGCTCATGGGTGGCTTAAGACGTATTCCCACCCGGATCTTCACGGATCGATGCATGTAGTGTAGCATCGCCTACGAACCCGTGACGTATATACATCACCATCAATTAACCATTTCTACTTTGATTCTGTTTAGCCACCATCAAACATAGGTGTATACTTTCTGGTGTCCGGCTGTTTAGTTTCATATATAGATTAACCTTAACTCTAAACCGGCAGGGGTTCGATTCCCGACATGGGTACAATGTGTGAAGCCCATTTCTGGTGTCCCCCGCCGTGATATTGCTGGAATTTTGCTAAAAGCGGCGTAAAACCATACTCACTCACTCACTCACTTTAAACCGGCAGTCAGCGCAATGGTTGTTATCTAAATCTCTCATGACGATATGATAAATCTGTTTTACTCACATGTACAAATAAGTTGCTTGACTGGATTTACATAGTAGACAAGGTAGTAAGGATTGGCCGTTATCATGACTTGGTGACGACTTCCGGTCATGGCCAACAACTCTTGAGAGGGGACGTAGTGGCTGTAACCGACGCCAATGATGGCGACGTTATCCGCCCTCAACAACAGGCTCTCGGACACTGTGGCGAAGTAGTTTTCGGATTGCTGTGGGGTGACGACGATGACGACGCGGGCGGCGTTCGGGCGAGCGTCTGTCTTGAAGTACGATCTGATGGACCTCAGAGCGAGAAAGCTTCTTGCTCCCTTAAATTCCGGCCTCCAAGTCTGAATGGCTAGGTGAAGGTCGTTTGGGTTGTTGGTAAATGGCGCAAGGACTCTGACGGTGTTGCTGAAGGCGACGATGGACATTCGTACTTTACTGTAGTCGTTCTGAGAGACGAACGTTGTGAGGAAGTGGACAAGCCCAGGGGAGGGGACGATTCCTCCAGAGCTGTGATACATGGTCGTCTTGGGGTCGGCAACGGCAATCACGATGTCGGTGTCGATGGCCAGTGAGCATGCTTAAACAGTCATTTTCGCAGAAAGTAACAATTTGATTAAGGATGTTTTTTAAGCGAATACGACCAACACATGTAATAATCTAACAACCTGAATGTTCTATTGTTTTATACAAATGGTATATGTGGAGTATTTGAACACACACCCGCTTACATCAAAATATGTAAAGTAAAATGCACCTTGTCACTCTTGCCATATATTTAGTTTTGAATAATAGTTTCTCTACGGAATAACTTAAACAGAAAGGTAGATGATTTCTTACCCTTTGGGTTTATCAGCGTAAGTTACCGTGTCCACGAAACATATAAACCCTTCTTTTCTCCTTTGGTATAATATGTAACAAGTTACTTTGCATATAAAGTGGAGCATTTCATTGCAAAGTTTGAGGAAACATAGCCAAAACAATTATTGAAATACATCAATAAGAAATAGTTGCCAGGTGTATATGTATATGCATGTGTATTTATGCCCTGCCTAATATAAAACCTACAAACAACAGCTTTAACTAGCCTTTCAATAACATTTTTATGGGATGCCATTGGCACACGTTTGTCGCCCAATATTTCAAAAAGTGCATATATACATGTACATCTGAGAAGACCCATGTTGTAAAAACATCGATGGTTGACCGACATCTGTGTTTGCTGATATTCTGTCTAAACCGACATCTGAGCTGTCAGACGTCCTGCCTTAAACAACTGAACGCATTGTCCTCGGCGAAATGCATAATTGTACTCAAAATACTATACCTTCAGACAGATACCACTTTGAAATGTATAATTATATATGAATGTGGAAAATTTGACGTACAGTGTACTAAAAGATGTTTGAGGGACGGTGGGGTAGCCTTGTGGTTTAAGCGTTCGCTCGTCACGTCGAAAGCCTTGGTTCGATTCCTCAGATGGGTACAATGTGTGATGCTCATTTCCGGTGTTCCCCACTGTGATATTGTTGGAATATTGCTAAAAGCGGCTTTAAACCAAACTCACTCCCACACCAACATATGTAATTGTTTTGGTATACGTTCATGCGGAATTTCTATACACAAAAAGGGATCATTAACGTTTGTCAACTAAATCACCGTACGGGTGTTGGTATTGTATAATATATGCATGATAACCTTCATCTTTATTTTAAAACGTCAGTTAGCGATATGGCTATCGGTCAGGCTCAAGAAAGGTTTCATTCGGCATTACTCACGTGAAGATGCGTCATATCCCCCCAACAAGACACACACGGCCAGGCAGACGAGATGCAGGCGAGCAGACGACATCATGGACGTCATCTCAATGTCAACCCAACTGAATGAAGTCATGGACAGAGTGGAATGACAACACACACTGTTCCATCTAATATAGCCAAGTGGCCACTGCCCAGGGTCAAAATCTGACCCGGGTCAAACACCAAGCGCTTCCCCAATACTACAACTCGAGCGTAAACAGGAACGAAATCACTTCATGTTGATTAGAACAGATTAATATAATTAAGATGATAAACACTGCTGGAGGCATGACTTCTAAGTAACATGCAGGTGGGGTGTACGTTGTAGCAGTGTCGGACATAACGTCTCAATGTTTAAAGTGTTATACCTATTAGAATTTGACTATGACTGTACATGTACACCAGGCATTGGAGACAAACCAGATAGATGCCTTAGCTTAAAATTTAGTCTTTGTTCATTAAATATAGTTCTTTCACCTTTGGTGTACATCGAGACCTGTAAATATTGAAGTGTATTGTAAGGGTACGTAATGCTCGCCTATGAGAAGGCGTACCTCTGTAGGTGTAGCGCAGTTGAACTGACTGATGGAGCTTATGATGGAAGTGAAATAAATAAAATGAGATCTTCGAGGATTTTTAAATATTATTCAATAGCGTTAAAGATCTGAGGGGTATAAAATCAGATATGATATGACAAGTACACTGACTAGCCTTGAATGAGGGAGGATGAGTTGGTTGTTCGTTTTATAGCAAACAAGATATAAAGTGTTAATTTGCGGTGAGTATCGGTCGAATCCCATTGTGAGTATTCCCATTATGACTACTAAAAAAAGAAGGCAAAATGAGCCTACCTATAAAATAATGGACTACTCCAGTCGTCAACAGTGTTCTGCCCATATGTACATGAACGATGTCTAATGGCAGATGTTGTTATATTTTATGTATTATTTGTTTATATATTCTATATTTCCATAACAAAGACAGAGCATGACGTACTGAGAAGCCTGTTTGGGTATTCACAATAGCAATAAAAATGTTACTGGAAAATGCAACTAATGCTATGTTTGCATTATTAAAGAAAGTTCGAAATATTGACTTGTCTCTTGAGGTTTTTTTTTTAGCATTTGACACAATGATTGCCCTTATAATAATGTATGTTCAAGTACATTTAAAGTGTTGTTTTTTAAATTGCAGCTGGTCATCGTTACTCAATTCCGTTGAAATTGAATGAGAACTACTATATATTAAAATGTAAAATGCATCTCCCACAATGCATTTAAGCAGGCATTAAAGGATATATTTTGTCAGCAGTGGCATCAGAGTATTTCTGTATCACTTTATCTTAGCGATTACAGCAAAGTGA